GAGTGTTGGATAGACTCGTAATTTTTAATATTGCATTGGACATTTTTCTATCCAGCTGAAAGTGAACCATTATCAATTCTGATGTTATGTAGTGCTGTGTATAATTAGTAACTGTTTTGGTCTCGTTTACCTTGTAAATCTGAAATTTGTCAATAATGTTGTGTGTGTGGCTCTTTGATCAAACACTGCCACCAGCAGTCTGTATGTTAATCAATAGCAACACATTTAATACAGCTTGCATTTTGTTACTCTATGTTGGTCTCATCCTTACATGCACAAGACTTTAAAAGTTCAGCATAGTAAATGTTTTATTGAAATTCTAAAACTGCTATGAGGGCTATGTTTACGGGATCGAACATACGATTAGCTCAGTATAAACACAGTTATACCATATATGCATGGAAACAAAAGTAGTTAGTATCTATTGACATTGACTGTATATGTCAGGCCATTATGGTAAATGCTTTTAAAGTTGAGTCATTTCGTTTTTCTTTCAGTTCTTAAGCCACTTAGTTTTTAATAACACACTGATCCGTCTTTGTTATCTGACAGGGGTATTTATTTTAGACATGTAAAATAATCACTGAAAATAAAGTCCTCATAAGTACAGTTAGTTCTACTTTATATTAGGCGCCTTTAACTACTATGTACTTGCATCAAAAATAATGAATGGTTTGGTACAATGTACTTCTGTTCATGTTGAATTGCAAAACACTTTAGCTGTTATTGAGGTGGAATACAGTTAAAGTTAGGGGCATGGTTAGGGTGGGTTAGCGGTGTAATTATAGGTGTAACTACAGAAAGGTGTTTTTAAATGTAAGTACAATGTGAAAACTTGTATGCCACAATAAGTGCATTGTATCAAATGATTAATTTAAAAGTAAGTACAATGTAGTTAGAGACACTTAATATAAAGTGGGTCCTTACAATTTAACCAAGTGGTTTTCATCTGGTTTTGTAATTGGACAGTACCACAATTATTTATCAAACAAAAATAAATATTGCAATGAGCTTCACAGGCCCAACAATATGCTAAATGATCAACATGACTGTCTGAATAAGGAAACTGACATTGGTTTAGTAATAGTCAATAGTTTCATATTCTCAGCACAAAACATACTGTGGTTGACAAACTTACCCTCATTTCAAATGAACCTGTATTTAATGTAATCTGGGTTGTATTTTGGTATATTGTGTAGTTTTGTTGATGGTTTGTGAGGATGAGGGCATGTTGAGGTCTAATTTGACTACAGTATAACAAAAGATATGAGAAGTGTTTGCTCTTCCCCTTTGAAAGTTCCTACATCTGTGTGCTCTGCTAACATAGCTCTACGTGACTGTAGTTTGTTATTTGCACTTGTTCTTGTGATTCCTTGCTGTCTGCGAGCCGTCAGCGGAGAAGAACTGGTGTAGCATGCATGAAAAAGCCCAAGTGTTCACGCAGCAGCAAGCTTTGGGCTTTCCTTTGCAGCCGGCGCAGAATGAAGGCCTTCGTCTTTAGACATGGCTAGCGACGGCGGTGAGCCGAGAGTGAGCGTGGATGGAGGCCGACCGCTTCTTTCATGCACAGGAGCGTACCTCTTACTGAAGCACTTCCAGCACTGCTTCGATATGATATACATCATCTCCACCACATTCAGTGCAATGCACAGGATAGACGTACAGCCCATGATATAAAGGAAGATTTTCTTCTCGGTGGCTTTTGCGATGTAGCCGTCCACCGTGTTGGGACAGGGGCTCTCGTCGCACCGGAGCAAGCGGGGAACGTGGAAGCCGCTGTACAGGAAGAAGAAAGCCAGCAGAGTGGCCACCTCGAAGGACGTCTTGAGGATGAGGCTCATGATGTAGGTGAAGAACAGCCCTCCGTCGATGCTGCCTTTATCCTGGTACAGCTTCCTCTTGTACTTGCTCTCTCTGTACTCCCTGTAAGCCACATGCAGAGCCACCAGCAGCGACGGGGTGGACACCATGATCAGCTGAATGGCCCATAACCGCACTTGAGAGATGGGGAAGAAGCGGTCGAAGCAAACCTGCTCGCAGCCTGGCTGCTGTGTGTTGCAGACGAAGTCTTTGAACTCGTCCTTCCACACCTGCTCGGCGGCGGCGACGTACACCAGGATGCGAAACACGAAGAGGATGGAGAGCCAGACCCGCCCGACGACAGTCGAGTACTTGTTTACCCCGCTTAACACATTCTCCAGGAATCCCCAGTTCATGTTTCATCGGGCTGCTGCGGGAGTCAGAAGGAAACCAAGAGTTAAATGCCTTGTAGCATGTACACTCCTAAAAATAAAGGGTTCCGTGAAGAACTTTTAACATTCATGGAACCTTTCCTTTATAGAGGCTGTTTATTATAGTGGAAAAAGGTTATTTCGATCAGTGGTTCGCAACCACTGACATTTTGCATGTCTACTTAATGAAACACACCCGTTTCTGCTCTTGGATTCTCCACTAAAAAAACTGATAACCTGAATCAAGTGTTTGATTAAGGAGACACTGTGCAAAATGTGCAGCGTTGAGGGCTCCAGGCTTTAGATGATTAAAATGTTGTTCACAGTAAGAAAAAAGGGTTCTTTTAAAGACTGAAAGCTTCTCTGGGGAACCAAAATGGTTTCTTCTGTGGCATCGCTGTGAAAACCTTCTTTTGGAGCCTTTATTTTTAAGAGCGTAACATTGACATGCTGGATGTTTAATGTCACGTTCACTTAAAGGAACACGCCACTATTTTTGAAAATAGGCTCATTTTCCAACTCCCCTAGAGTTAAACGGTTGAGTTTTACCGTTTTCAAATCCATTCAGCCGATCTCCGGGTCTGGCGGTAGCACTTTTAGCTGTAGCTTAGCATAGATCATTGAATCTGATTAGACCGTTAGCATCTCGCTCAAAAATGACCAAAGAGTTATTTTTCCTATTCAAAACTTGACTCTTCTGTAGTTACATCGTGTACTAAGACCGACAGAAAATGAAAAGTTGCGATTTTCTAGGAGTTTGTTTAACTCTAGGGGAGTTGGAAAATTAGCATATTTTCAAAAATAGTGGAGTGTTCCTTTAAAATGCAAAGAATATATATTCCATTCGTTGTTATTAACAACATAAAGTGAATTAATCATAAGATTTCAGGGTTTCCCAAACTGAGGGAAAATTTTATGAGGGAACTGCATGGAGTTTGCGAGTTCAATGAAAAGCTAACAATTAATAAAGTCATAAAAAAGTCAAATTCAAATAAATTATTTTAAAGTAACATCAAATACCGTGATATAAATTTTTGGTCATACCGCCCAGCACTAACTCAACTGTTTAACTCTAGGGGAGTCGGAAAATGAGCCTATTTTCAAAAATAGTGGCGTGTTCCTTTAAGAGAGCGAGAGCAGTGGCACTCTTTAGACTGGTATACATATAATCCATAATAATCTATCAATGTACTTTTTCAGAGCATTCTCAAATCTATATTTCAGAATCAGAATGAGCTTTATTGTCAAGTGTGCACAAACACATGAAGATCCGTTTTTGTGAGACACTTCTCTTAAGAAAGGCAAAGAAATGTTAAGTATTTACCTTTCATGTAGTCTGATTCCCTTCTGCTCGGCGTGGTCTCTGGCTGCTGCTGACAGACTGGAAATGCACCGAGAGCAGCGTCTCTCTGCTATTTGATAGTCAAACACACCTGGTGGAAGTGCCACACCTGTTTGGTTACTATGGCAGGACTCTTATGTCACTGGAAACGCTCTGCTCTGAACCGGCTGATGGGACGGTGTTTTGGTGTGTTTGTTGATTGCACGAGGTGTTGTGAGCCTCATAGCCTGTAGTGTTAGCAGTGTAAACAGTCGTGCATGTCGAGTTCAGTGGAAACGGCTCCGACGCACCCACTTGTGCCCTTGACAGACGCATAGTCTCCGTGGTCACGGATGAACAGCAGACACTCCATACACAAACCCTCAGCCAATGCTGTCAGTCTGCATGTTCAGTTTGCATGGAAAACCATGTCAGGAGAATCACATTTTGATATACTTTCTGTAAGTCAGACCTTCTTGTGCTGTGGGTTTGTCTTTGGCAGTAGCTCTGGTGCAGATTAATGAGGGTTACTGCAGACATATGCAAGTAAACCTGTAGATGTGTGTAACCCAATAGGTTACGTATGCAGTTTTAATGACAAACTGCAGGCTGTTTGTGCGTGTGCATGAATTACTGATGAGCTCAGCGGCACTGATAGTGTTACCAGCAGAGTCTGCTGTGAAACACCTTCATTTGTGATTGCTACAGGTGTTCAGTTTACTTTCTTAATTCGTGTTCCTGTTTTTATTGTGAATGATTCATCAGTGTGCATTATTCTAGAGAAAATCATGGTTGTTTTCATAATCTTTCATCAAGCTCCACCTCAGATGTCATCAGTCCGTCATATAGAGACACTTTCATTGTTCATTTATGTTCAGATTTTTTTTATGACAAACCTCTTGAGATGTACTGGCTCACTACAAAGGAAATACAATGATCAATTCATCAATGAACAGGCTGATAAACAACTGATAATAAAAAGAAGAAAACCCATTGGTATTAATGAAAACACTGCAGCACAAAACGGCCAGTTTCTGGTGATGAATAAACAATAGACTCGAGGTATAAACAGTGCCGGCCTCACTGACAGAACACACTTAAACACAGCAGCTGATGAAACAGATCTAATATTATCAGGAAAATAATCCAGTCTACTGGGGCTTTAAACATAAAAGCTCTTTTGTCAGTTGTTTTCTTTAAATTAGAGATGAGCAAAATGCTTAACTCAGTCATTTGAATATCAATAAAATGAATGCATTTAAATATAAATTGAACCAATGAATGTGTCTTATTATTACAAGCAGAGATGGACATCTTAAGGGCACCACACACTATACAGTAATGACTGAGAAAATCACCTCTCATCTACAGAGTCTACTATATGCTGTTAAAGGAATAGTTCACCCCAAAATGAAAATGTGTTCACTCTCAGTTCATCAGAGATTAGGATGAGTTTGTATCTTCATCAGGTTTGTAGAAATGCAGCATTGCATCAGTGTCTCAGCAGTGGATGCTCTGCAGTGAATGGGTGCCGTCAGAATGAGAGTCCAAACAGCTGATAAAAACATCACAATAATCCACAAGTAATCCACAGCACTCCAGTCCATCAGTTAACATCTGGAGAAGACAAAAGCTGAAACAAATCCAGCATTAAGACGCTTTTAACTAAAATACCATAGAGTTCATAATCCATAATAACTCTTCCTCCAGTGATAAAGTGCATCTGCTGTTTTCTCTCACATCAAAATCCAGACACATATTTGTTTAGAGCTGTTTAAATGCTGCTTGATCTGTGCAGATTTCTCTCCTGATTCAGATGAGATGACTTTTTCTTTGGAGGAAGAGTTATTATGGATTACGGACTCGTATTTTAGCAGGAAGCAATGGTTTACAGTTAAAAACACCTTAGACCTGGTTTCACAGACAGAGCTTAGACTAAGCCAGGATTAAGCACTAGTTTAATTAGGACGTTTAAGTAATTTTTATAAACATGCCTTAGAAAAAAAGATTACCTCGCTGTTCCGCGCGGTCAACCCGGAGCTCTTCATCAAACCTGCAAGTGCTCTTCATGGCTTTACACTCATATAAATCACACATGACCTGATGACTCCAGCTACACGCGAGCGTTCACCTCGGAAGCGTGTTTTAGTGTTGCTCTTTGAACGCATGCGTAAGAGCGTCGCGTCACAGTGTTTACCAGCAGCACGAGCGTTGCGTTTTTAAAGAGGCCGTGTAAAGTTAAAACAGCCGTTAATAAAAAAACGTCATGTTAGTTCAGAGTGCATCAATAACTTTTGATCCTAAATGCATTAGTAAATAATATACATGTAATGCATAAAACATTCAGTAGCAAAGAATAAAAGAAAAAAGTTTACATAACATTTTTAATCTGAACATTTTAATAAAAATCCATTCCTGCGTCATAAAAGTGCTCAAAGTTGAAGAAAGAGTAATAAATATTGTCCTGAAAGCTGAAGAAGTTCAATATGCGACACCTTGTTAAATACTGTGATATCTGAAATGCGATACAATATTGCTTTAAGTGTGTGAAATCAAATTATATAACCAATGTATATGTTTCACATTCACTACAACTTCTGAAAGTGACTAGCAGTGTTTTAGCATTACATAAAAAAACAATGTCACAAATCTGAAAATGTAATTTTAACATCAATGTAAAAAAAAAAAAATAATAATGCCAATATTTAAATACCAAAAACTCTGCTCAACTTGGTAATATATAGTTATATCAACCTAAAACTTCACATCAAGATCAGTGATGGGCAAACTTGACCCTTCCAGGCCACTTTCCTGCAGAGAGGTGAATGATTAGTTAGTTGTTATTTTAATTCATCTTTGTTAATAAAAGTAAGAACTACAAGCAATAGGACAAATACAATAAAACAAAGACACAAGTGAAATAAACAGTTTGAAGTCTTTCAGGCAGGCTTACATTAGATTTATTTAACAGTACACTGTAAATAGGTTGCTGTAAATTTAAAAAAATGTGTACAGTATTATTAATGTAATTGCATTTACAGTACAATAATGTCGTTACTGTATTTTATTTACAGTATTATTACCGTATTTTCATTTACAGTATCAGTACTGTAGAGTTTATTTTCATTTAGTTTAAACATTTTTTACCTGTAAAAAACAATCCAATTGTGTTACTGCACTGTAAACCATGATTTTTACCATCCCCCCTCCCCCCAAAATCACAATAACTCATGAGCTTTAGTTCTGATAATATTATTTTTAATTGTTGAACATTTTCTTTTTAAAAGTACAAATTACAAATCTTGACCTCTCAGATGCACTAGCTTAAAAAAAGGGCGTCAGCACAGTCCCCTGGGGACTTTGTATCATGGAAAAACATACACATACTGAAAAGCAAAAATTGGCAAGTACACGACCAGTCAAAAGTTTTTAACAGTAAGATTTTTAATGTTTTTAAAGTCTATTCTGCTCACCAAGCCTGCATTTATTTGATCCAAAATACAGCAAAAGCAGTAATATTGTGATAGTTTACTACTTAAAACAGCTGTTTTCTATGTGAATATTGCTAGCATGTTCCTCTCAAAGTCAACCTGTTCTGAGAGTTAGTGGAGAACAGCAGCTAGAGGCTAATTTAGTGACATTAACGTTAGTTAAGCTGATGGAAGCTCACCTGTTGTTAGCACCGCTAACACAAGACTCCAATACACGTCCGATGCAGACGACATGACCACAAACTTCAAAATAAAATGCAAAATGTTATTAACTGGTGTTTCTTCACTCAGTTTTCCTCAGTAGGTTGTTAGCTGATCCAAAATACACCTCGGACGTTGCAGACTACATCCAGACTAGAAATCTGAAAGTAACAAACAAAAGAAGTACTAGAAAATACTGTTTAAAATCTCCACTGAAACAGTGGTTCCATAATCCTTTGTGGTTTACAGTAAAATACTGTATACACATTTTACAGTATCTTACTGTACATATTACAGTATAATACTGTTCAAATTACAAAAATCGTTACAGTGTAGCATTCAATACAGAAACTCAATAATCAAAAGTAAAACTAAAACACTGCATAGACTTCACAAGAATTAAATATAGCCTGCATTGATTCATAATAAAGCTACAAATGTAAGTGAGTGAAGAGCAGTGGGTGATGTTCTCTTTCTCTTCTGTTGTTTGACAGACAGCTGCAGCTTTACTGTATTAGGCTGCTGGGATCCTATTGCTCCCAATCTGATTTCTTTGTGTGCATGAGTACGCCTCGAGACATAACTGTGTGTGTGTTTGACCGTGCGAGTGTAATAAAGCGCGAAAGAAGAAAACTGTAGGGGTCACACGCTGTCCGAGAGGTGCTTCAGGTGTGTGTCAGACAGCAGACAGCTATGTATTGCACTTAAAGTCCCCATGAAATCAAAATGAAAGTTTTTTGGGTGTTAGTATCAATATGTTAGTCTTAAGGTTATCTATAAGGCAGTGTGCTCCAAAACAGTGACAAACTTCACATTTAGAAGATATAAGCATTCAAAGCTTGCAGTTTGTCACTTCCGCCAAAACGACTCAACGATTTTTTTTGACGTCACATCGTACTTCAGCTTCTCATCAAACGTTCTGTCCAATCAAATGCTCTCTAGAATCAGAAGCGCCCGCCCCCTACACTATAAAATAGACGCTGAAGCCGCGGCTGAAATCGGTCACTTGTCCACAGAATTAGTATTTTCTGTACAGTGAATGGCACGTAGTGCACTATATAGGGGACAGGGAACGAGTCAAACAGTGTAAATATGCTTTCCATTGAGGAAAAAAAGAAGTCTGGTTTCGCGCTGTGTCACGCTAACCACCACACCGCACACACACTCTGCTCCGGTCCAGAGACACGATAGCACGGAGCAGATCACATGCGCGAGTCGGCGCAGACCACAAAATGTATCGGAGCTATTTGAATTCTACACAGAATGCTATATTTTATAGCAATATGGATGAGATTGTGGCTGGCATACCCTGTCAAATGCGGCTTTACGGAGCTCAACAGCTCTGAACGGCTCTAGCCCAAGCTGTGATATAAACAAACGCTATTGGCTATTTTAAAAAGGGGCGGGGCTGCTTGATATGTCCCGCCCTGTCTTCCTGTTTCAGTTAAAATGACGTCAACACAGAGTAACACTGCGTGTTTCTAAGCATTTCAGGGGACCTTTAATAACTCTCTTTAACGGCAAGCAAGTCACGTAAGTAGCAGTCGCGTGCCCAGTCTGTTCTCTGCTGCATGCATCGACCCAAAACATTTTGAAGTAGCCTATTATTAAAATAATTCAGATATCGCATGCCGATATGTCTCTATGTTCATTAGCGATATTTTTGATATATAGTGCAGGTGTAATCCTGAGCCGGGCTCATAGTGCTGACGCACATCTCCGTGCTTCCCTCAGAATAAGCCGGTGATGGCTGTGGGTCTGCTGAGCCTCACGCTGTGTGTGGGGTACCTGGGCTATCTGCATGCGGTCCGAGACAACCAGCAGCAGCTGTACGAGGCTGTGGACAGCCAGGGAGAGAGACACATGAGGAGGAAGAGCTCCAGATGGGACTGACTGACCAAACCACACCAGCAGCAGCAGCAGCAGCAGCTTCATCAGCATCAGCATCGCTGCACTTCACTTGATTGTGTTTAAGTGATAAACATGATCTGGTCACCTCAGTGGAAGTGTTGCTCTTCCTCTGGTTCATGCAGCATGGCTTTACACACTTATTTGGTCTCATAATCCTCTTAATTACTAACCAACACTACTGCGATACCTACTGGTTTGGGTAGAGTTGAATGATACAGCTGGGTTAATATGCAACACTATGGCTTATTTTGGGAAAACTGCCAAGTTAATTACATACACCTGATCAATGGGCCGTAACGTTGTAACACCGTGAAAGCTTTAAACATGATTTTAGAATATGCACATCTGTTAAGTGGAGTAAAAGTCTGAAATTAGCATATTTATGTATTGGGGTCAATGACAAATAAAATCATTCATTTTTGAAAATCTTTCCAAATGAATGTAATGCATTTTTTTTTTGAGTTTTCTGACTAAATGTCAGGTGAGTGTCAACCGAATATTTATAAATCTATATTTGCATTCCTCATTTTATTTCTAAGTGAAATCTTAGCAAAGCAACTGTTAGAGTGTCTACAGTGCCTAATGCATTATTATTTTGTGGTTGTGTATTCTATTTATATTCACTTATAATTATTGCATTGTAATGGCTGGGTGTTTAGTATCTTCAGCATTTGATTTTACTTTTAAAGACAGAAAGATAATGACACAGCAAATAAATGCATTTAATACAGACCTGTTATTCGTTTGTTTAAATGAAGAATTGACATGGTTGCACCACCTGACAACATTAATAATTACAGGAAATATGCTGAATTACATTTAAAAAATATAAATACAAGAGTTTAGTCAACGGTCTCTGTTGAAGTAAAAGCAGTAAACTGAGCAGAAATGTTAGAACTGGAGTGCAATAGATTGATTAGACACACTGTGATCAGATGTGATTGAATAACAACAAAGCTGTGTTTTATATTGATACAAAAAAAAATATCAAAAATGCATTTATCAAGATTTTAAAACATTAAATGCATAGCAACTGGAACACTAATAACTAAACAGAAATGGATCAGGGATTTAACAACAGTGTAGTGTTTCCCCTTGCTTTTCCTCCTCTGATAACTAAACATGAGAATAAACTTCCATATTACCATTTATAAACCTGACAGGTCTGACTGCAAAATAAAACGCTGTCAAGACTTATCAAATCTCCTTTCTTTCTGCAAAATATGCTTCTCTTGCAACATTTAAAATATATATTTTAGAAAAATACTGCGCTGTTTACCTCAAATACCACTGTTATTGAAAAACTGTTGCTTTAATTACCTTTAAAAAAAAATAATTGTCTCAAAATATACTCATAAATTTGAGCGATTCTCGTTTGCTACATGAATCTACATTACTTGTCCTTATATTATTAAAATGCAAGGTTACATGAGTAAAAAAATTACTTTTTTTATTTTTTCCTTAAATTATGTTAATAATTATTTTCCTAAAAAGGTTATGTTCTTTGTGTTGTTTTAATTTTGATAATCCATTGCATATTAAAATAAAACTGACCACCTGTCCATAAAAATTGCGCACCTGGACTTTAGGAATGAGAAGCTTGAAATGAAATGGCTTTACAGACAAAGTTTTCACTCCTGTATTAGCGCATATCCTGGTAAATGGGTTATTTTAAACTGAGAGAGAGAGAGAGAGAAAAAACGTATCGTTTTGTGTGATGTGAAGAAAACAATGGTAGCGACTTTTATTTTGAAACTTCCGGGCTCCACAGGAACCTGGGGCAAGTTCCAGCTCAAACCGGTGTGCACTGTTTTGCTACGGTTTCCGGTTTGAACGACATGTTTCCTGGAACGGGGTTTGAGATAGGGTGCGTCCGAAATCGCGTACTGCTTAGTAGGTACTACATTTGAATTTGAACACATATATCATGGTTTGATATGTCTTTCACTATCAGATCCACTATTCTGTCGTGGCGTGCTGTGTACATTCCCTTGTAAGCACGGCAGCTGTTCAGGATATGTGGCAAGGAATGTAGCGAGTGAGCTCACTGGACAGTGAATGTTACTTTCATTTTTTTTTATTTTGTACTGTTCAAAAGAACAAATGAACATGTTATTCATTTGATGGTGTGTTCATATAAACTACTGTAACACAGGTAAATAAATGGATGTGAAATTAAATAGTTTCAGAAATGAAAACTAAATCTAACATAAAGTCAACATGAGTCAACTCAAAATACAGTTTTTAAATGAGAATGTTATTCACTGAAGTACAGAAGTTCTCTCGTACCGACTGGGTCTGAGTAAAGCTCTGTTTGCTCCTGTAGTTAGTAGTTCCCAAATCTGTGAAGCTGCTGTGAAACATTACTGCAGCCCTCTTCAGTGAAATCAACACTGATCCAGAGCTGTAAGTGCGTCTCAGTCCGCTGCTGAGCTCCTGGATCAGTATATGGTGCACATGAATCACAGGATTACTTGATATCCAGTCACTGCTGGTATTACTCAACAACAGACCGGACCTGTCTCTCTTAGATTATTTTTCACGCTCTATATTGTTCTGTTACATGTCTAGCGATGTGTGTTTATGCTGAAATAAAGAAAAAATAAGTCTTCTATCGTGTGCCATTATATTGGAGTTGGCTTGTGCATTTTATGTTTCGCGGAAATGTGACGGTAAGCAAGCACCGATGCGCCCTAGTTTTTGCGGTGCATTGTGGGATTTTTCAGAGAGTGCATGCTCCCTGATCAGTGCCCTGACTGCTGGAGTAGGGAGCTGATTGAGACGCAGCCGTTCTCAACAGCAGGTGGTTGCTAAAGCTCTCGGCCGGTAACACACTAAAGCAGAGATGACAGACAGAAGGTGAATGAAAAACACCAGTCTGGGAAGAGTTAGAGCTGTTGGAAAGGCCCTCTTTGATGGGTTTTGTTTGAAGAACTAAATCTGTTTAGTATGAAATAAACAGAAGAAATCAGGATGGGGACAAATGCATTTTTTACTGCACTATATGTCCATATCTTTTGACAAAACAAAAACGGTGCCATTTTCTAATTTTTCTGCTTTCAGTATTAAATAAGAAAGAGCTGTTGTTCTGTCAGTTAATGACAGAGAGCCGAGCGCTTTAGACTTCATCTGGACTCTCACGAGTCTTCTCAGCTAGTGAAGACGCAGAAGTGCTGATCCGTGATCCTCATGTGCTTCTGTTTCACCTGCAGCCCAAGAAGAAGAACAACATTTCCCATGATGCCTTCGGCCGCTTGCACACGCAGAAGCAGACCCTGGACAGACTCCAGACGCGCGAGATGAAGGTTTGAGGAAGAGGAGGGCAGAGGAGACGGCAGAGACCAGACCAGAACCAGAGCTGAAGATCCTCAAACACCAGAGACAGACATGTGATCAGAATAAAGAGACATGTTTTTGTCTTCTGTTGGACTGACTGACTGATCCACAAACCCAAATGAATTCAGTCATTTAACAGTTAAACCATTATTTTTCCTGCTAATTTAATGTGCTCATATCCTCAGCTTGGCATGTCTGTTTTCCCCTAACACACTTCTGAAAACCCTGCTGCAATAGATATATGTATACTCCATATTATGAGCAGCCTGCTCGTGTGTTTATTTACACACACATCTGTGTCCCTGGAGCACAAAACCGCATCTCAATTTAAAAAATTTGTGCTCCAGGGTCACAGCATAAAGAGAACAGGCATATTCAGAGTTATGCCATAACATTTAAGACGGTGAACAACTACTCAAAACACATTGGTGTTCAGTGGAGTCCTGAAGTCGAGCTGCACGATCCTCCTGTTGTTTCTCACTTCAGTATGATGAAATAAATAATACAGCTGTGTTTTACTGACAGCCCAGGGAAACAAATCTACATCTAATCAAATCTAAGAGTTCACAGACTGAGAAACACAGTTAGGTTTTCACAGAAATGAACATTCACGCGTCAAACACTGTGTTTACAGAGCTTAATAAAGGCTGTGAGACTGTACATTTTAACATTAGAAACGGCACTAATAGCATTAGTTCGATGCGGATGTACGCATCTCAATTTAAAAAATTTGTGCTCCAGGGTCACAGCATAAAGAGAACAGGCATATTCAGAGCTATGCCATAACATTTAAGACGGTGAACAACTACTCAAAACACATTGGTGTTCAGTGGAGTCCTGAACTCGAGCTGCACGATCCTCCTGTTGTTTCTCACTTCAGTATGATGAAATAAATAATACAGCTGTGTTTTACTGACAGCCCAGGGAAACAAATCTACATTTAATCAAATCTAAGAGTTCACAGACTGAGAAACACAGTTAGGTTTTCACAGAAATGAACATTCACGCGTCAAACACTGTGTTTACAGAGCTTAATAAAGGCTGTGAGACTGTACATTTTAACATTAGAAACGGCACTAATAGCATTAGTTCGATGCGTGATATATGTATTTTTGAAGCTATGATGGCTCTGCATAAATGATTTTCAGAATACAGATCACAGTTCTGAAAACAAAACAGAAAACCAAAACAAAATAATATGTAGACTAATTTACTTGAGATTCTGACTAAATGTTTTATTGTTATTAATGAGTCTGTTTACAAATATTAATTTAAATGAATGAATGGAATAATGATTCAGTCTTCAGACAGATTTCAGCAGTCACTGGTGTGTACTGTACTGTATATACAGTATTTATCCGGACTATACACTTTTATCTCCATACTCTCGCTATTATTAGATGTTAGCATCACTGCTGTGTGGAGAGTGTTCAGACACAAAGCTGACATGATGAGCAGATTTATTCCGATGGGATTGTGATTTCAAAGCGGATCATCCCTTACGAAAATTAACCATGGATTTATTACAGCAAAAGTGTAGTAACCATTTAACCACAATGTGTGACAAATGCATCTAAGTGAACTGTATAAATGAATGTATTTATGAACTAATAACTTTTTCAACACGGTGATATGATCACACGCACATTTGAAGTCTCTTAATCTGAACTTTGATCTTGGAAGTACTTTTTATATTTTCAATCACAAATTTTAACAATGATAACATCAATGTCAAGGAAATATATTACTAATTAGACTACTTAATTTGATTTGATGACCTTGTGCTTATGCTTTACCCCTGTATGTATGTAGATAGACAGACAGACAGACAGATAGATGCCTGTTGTTCTGCTGAAGCTCCTCATCACCGCGCTCGTTTGACTCGCACCTGGCGCTGAGGTGAAGTTGGAGTATGGTAGGCCAAAAGGGCCAAAAACACGTGAATTTTAACACGTCAACAACCCGTCCACGTGAACCGACAGTTGCGACCGACTTTACTTCCATATTGTGACCTACTTCCGAGAGAAACAGAATACTGAATGAGAAAAACAGAGGGTGTGGCTTGTTTTTTCTACTGTGAACTG